GATCATAAATTGAACCTGTTGTATTTTTGTTCTAAATCAAATAGGTAACAATCGATTAGACTAAAAAGGATCAAATCAAACTTGAATAGATGTTGATAAATATGTTTATAAATGACTAAGAGAAAGATCAAATAATCTATTTTACCTGTATATGTTGAACATGTAAACGAATATCGTCTGCTATTGAATTGTATCTCTGTTATACAAGGTTTATTTCAATTCGCCGATGGACCTAAAAAATACGTGTTATTTAAGATCTTATCAGTTGCTTTATACTTGCAACGAAGAGCAAAAACTTTTAATTGATGTGGCATTGTTGTTTTGGTAAGGTACAACCTTCTATTTCATTCATAAGTTATAGTACTATTAAATTTATTTTCAATAGTACATGTAATTGAAAAATTTCGACGTAAATGCAATATTATCAAAAGATAACACATTATTTTCCAGGTGGATTATATTCTATATGTTCGTTTACTATCATTATATGATGAACATTCTTTTGAGTATGAAATTTTTATTCGAATTTCTCAATCATTTCCACTATAGTTTATCATCAATCACAAAAAACATAAACAACTTTATAAATCAATAAATCATAATGAAAATTCATCAATTGTTAAATATAATTATCTTATTACAGTTGATATTTCAAAAGTTCATGATGGTTATAAAGAAGAATTTTTATTTAATACAAAAACATATTTTCATACTAATATTCTTCTTTATATCAATGATTAGTCATTAGAAAGAGTGGCACACAAGTTTATCAGATATGATACACGAATTAATTATGTTAAAATAAATGAAATTTATTTATTCAAAGGAAAAAAATTATTCAAAATTATTGTAAGATTATGTTCTTTTTGCAATAATACATTGATTATTACTTTAGTAAAACAAATTTATTATCTTATGGAAAGATCAAATATTTCAAAAAACACAACAGAAATAATATTTATCAAGAAAGAAGTCAATATCATTATGTGTGAAAAGTTCTTATCTGTTAGCAAATTGATTTATATTGCTAGAAATCACTGTAAATCAGTTTATTTCCTCTTAATTTGACTAACATTTTTATTTATCAGTATGAATGAGAAGAAACTGTCACTAAAAAAAGAGCATTTCTAAACTGAATTCGGTGGTGGAGTAGCCTTATTCTTACCAAATAATTATGATATTTGTCAAGATCAAATTCTTAATTGATATTTGATGGGAAAAAAATTTGTTCATTTATTATTGAAAATTTTTCTACTAAACAATATTGATCATTGAAATTTATATTAAAATAAATAAAAATATTTGAATAATTAATATAAAATTTTATTAAAAAGATAAAAAAAAGGAGTACATTCTTCTAATTAATCAATAAATTAATATGAATTATTTTTATTTAAATAATCAATTAGAAAATGAACTCAAATTAATTAATATTAATAAATATTAACATTTTGTAAAATCAATAATTGAGAGTCATATTTACACTAAAACAAGTATCGAATCGAAAATTTACAAATAAGGCAAATGATTCCATTGTTGACTAAGAGAAAAATATTTTATAATAATAAAGACTTTATCTCAAAAAAAGAAACAAAGTGGAAGTAACATTGTCATCATCTGATAATAATTAAAAAGCTAATTCTCATACTTGTCAAATTTTGTAAAAAGAATAGTTTCTTTTTAATCAAAAAAATTTTCTTTTCTTTATTTACAATTTTTGAACACTAACTTGTGAGTGTGGTATATGGATTGAGTGAAGAAAAATATTATTCTCATATTCAATAGAAATGAGGTTTTGCCAGGTTGACATATAAAGCAAGATAAATCTTATCTTAATGATTGAATAGAGTTTGATAATGTCTACTTCAAACAAGGTTACTATTTGTGGAAAGCAAATGTTCTATTGAACGCATTTTTCTACAATTATTTTCTCTAAATATTCTTACTTCTAGTCGGTAATTTATACATGTTTTTTTGTTGTGACTCGCATGTACAAGTGCAAATTTATTTTTCTTCTCTCTTTTCTCCATTCTGAATCATTTTATTTGAAGCACAATAATTAAATTTAAAAAAACAAGCAAAAGAATTTTTTTCTAAGTTGTTATTGGAGAAAATGTTGAGTAACAACCACAAAGGGTTACTTCTCTGCATAGTAAAGACAAAAAAAGCAATAACTATGTTTATGAGTTATACTTTTAATGAAGAACGGTAACGATTGATTATTGTGGATGACTCATAAGAATTTCATAAATTTCTCAAAGTTATTTTAAGAGACAATCTATTACTCGATCGAGAAATTATTTCCTCTGAAAAATTTTGCTTTACATCTTTTTGATAATATGATATAAAAGAACATATAAAATCTACCTATATATCCAAAATTTTAGCCTTGCTTTAATGTCTATTGGCTAAATATTAAGGACATATTGAACATGACACAAAATCCTTAAAAATCTTTCCTCACGCTCAAAATTTCAGCAACAATGTCGATCTAAAATCTATTAAAAATACTTCTTAGTTTAATTACTCAACAGACGGTAAGTGTATGCCTTATCCCACACACTCACTAACAATATTACATTACTATTCGTCGACCTATGGTCATCATGATAAAATCCAATAGTACCCACATCACTATATTTTTTAAGAAATTCTGATGTTGTTTGGCCATCCTATTGAAAGAAATCAATTGAAAATTCATGTTCGATTTAGAGAACAAAATATACTTGGCATAATTTTAGTGTAAGTTCAAGAGCAATCTTTCTGTCAGACTATCGATCGGAATCAAAAAATCATATGGATTTCTCAAATTAACCAGCATGACCTATGCAAAGAAAGTAATTTTCAAAACTATTTCTTCCTTTTCTTATAATTCATTCTACTTGTTCGACCAATACGACGAATATAAAAATCACTTGTATCCGGTAAATCATAATGAACAACAGAATAAATAAGACCATTTGTAAATTGTTCTACAGTTTCATTTCATTGTTGGTGTGTTTGATTTTCATGGATTATTACACTTATGAGAGTTTTTTGTAGAAATAATGCACCAATAGTATCAGCTGATCGTTGTGTTTCAACAAAATCAAATAACGTTCAGATTTTGTTTCTTTGTAAATGGTACTTCTTCTATTGTATGTGCTACATCGACATTTGCACTCTCATAGAAAACAATATAATCGTCACGAAGGACATGCTTTGCTAATTGCTGTAATTGGTTAGAAAATGTTACGAAAAATATCCATGGAACACGTTTTTCTTGTGATGATAAACCAAGACTTTCTAATTTTCGTATATCAAGTTTCAATTCTGTATCTAATATTCTTTAGAAAAACAAAAAAACCGTAATCAAAATTAGGTTCAACACCATCAATGTTGTTTTTACATACCGGTTAGTTTCATCTATAACGAAAAATTTCACTTGTTTTTAGTGAAACTGAAATAAGGAATCCTGTAAAACTTTGAATACAATCCACTGAATTATAATTTTATTTGGACTTTTCCCACCATGTCTTGAAGACGATCCGATACAGTAAACATATCATGACCATCAGCAGCAATGCGATGTGGGTGCAAATAATAATCAGCCGGACATTTTACGAGAATACATATTCTCGCTATACGTTTATGAAGTAACTTACATGGTACCACAGCAGTTCGATATGTGATTTTACTTGCTTCATCTTCTGTTTGTAAAACATGTTGACATGTACGTGATATAACAAGGCAAAGTAGTGATGACGGATGTTCTCTATTAGATAATACATCAGCATGACATTCAAGTAAAGGATGAGTGGCCATTAAAAAACAAAACTTACTGATCTATCACATCCAATTTGAGCACAAGACCAATAAATCACCTTGTTATTGAAACTTTCAAAGTGAGCAAGACGAGTATTTGATACAATTTGTGTGTCAACACTAGCTTCTTCATTTTAATTCAATTGGTTTGACTTTGTCTAATGAAATATAAAAAAAAGTTATTGTTGAACTAAACATTAAAAATAAAATAAAGACTACGATATTACCTAATGGTAGATAATAAATTTGTATTCTAGGGATACTTCCAAAGTCTTCATTCTTTCTTAATGCTTTAATAAATATATCATCTGTATTTGTCAATGAAAGTGGTGAAAGATAATGTTTAATTGGATGATCATCAGCTATAGAAAAAATGACTTCGATTATTTTTCTATCTTTATTCTTATATATATTTGTGTTAATTGAAAATATCATTAGAAACCTATATGAATGATTGAATTTTTCTTTTCAAAAACGAAATATATACTTACTCAGTTGTTATTTTTTTTTGACATCACATAGAAACTATCGCCATACTATCTGAAAGACTAAACAAATAACATATACTATATATATAACCTGAGTATACTTACTTTTGCCATCATTTCCAAGACGAGCACCATGATTATCTAGCAGCTAAGTAAAAACTATCGTTCTTCCTACTTATTTAAAATTATCTTACCACGAACACTAGATATGAATTGTCCTCTGTATGAAGCTCAATGATTTGTATTGAACAAATTGTTTTTCAATGTAGAAATATAGATGATGATTTATGAAACGTTGTACTCGTCCGAGACTCGTCAGACACCGATGATTTGCAATTATTTGACGACGACACCAAATTAGCACTGTGTTCGTTATTTTTACCTCGTGTATCTTGAAGACAAATACAAGCAAATTTTTATTTATTTAGTTTTATCTTACGATGAGCAGCTGAACTGATTCGCTTTCCAATAAACATTGCATTGTTCCATGTAGATCATAACGATTTTTTTTGTTTTCCTCGAGGCATTCTATAACTTTGTTGTTTTAATTTGTACATAGTTTCTGTTGTTTGACGACAACGATTCAATACTACGATTGTCAACATCTGAACTCAAGGTAACATAATGTTCATTATCAATTCCATCAGGTTCATCGTGTAGCTCAGAAAATTCTTGACTCATTTGGTCAGTCTTACTACTAGTGTCATTTTCTTTAAAACTCAGGCGAACAATTTCATTGAATATGCCATAATTTTTTAAAATATTGATAAATTTTCAAATATTTAAGCATCTCAACTACACACTTAACAAACGATTATCCTCACTCTATCAAAACACATAACTATCACTGTATTGCCTAAGGAAAAATAGAAAATTTTATTTGATCCTTATAAACAGCAAAATTATACTAATAGAAACTCCAATCGATGGCAATTTTGCAACTGAAGTATGCATTAACATTATCATTACTGTGTTCCTAATGATTGATATGACAGAAAGAAATTTGAAATCGCTTGTGTGTCATTACTAACAGTATTGACATGAATAGGGATGCGAGTTTACTCTTGGATGCATGTCTCACTGATATTTGCGCAGCACAGAGGTTGGAACACGCTCTTAGAAAATCTATTTCGTTACCATTTATATAATAAGGAAGAAAACTATGCATTGACGAGATACGAATGATATTGATGAGTGTTTCTCGAAAAGAGTTAATTAAGACTGTTGTGAACAAGTGATAGGAATGATTCAACTTATGCTATTGAATACTTATCATGTGATTTTTCTGTCAGAGTCAAGTCAAAGGCATCTAAGTAATTTTATGGGGACTCACTCAGACCTACAGAGATATCTGTTAATGTTTGATGATCTTAGTGAAAGGAGACTTAAGGAGAAATAAACTTTTTGATTTATTATGCTGTAGTTTGTAGGTATTAGAGTCACTCAACTGTAGCAAAACTAATTTCGTACGACTCTTGCTTGTAAGAAAAGTCATACAATCAAATTAGATTTCAATCCTTGCTTCAAATGTTTGCCAGCAAACAGATATACGGAAAAGTATAAGTAGTAAAGAATATTCGAAACATATTTTGCTCAAATTCAATCAATAATAATCCTTAATATTTATGTGTAAAATGAGGATTCATATGTGAGCAATAACTGCTCTTTCAGTTCTAATGATGTTTATATAATATTCTACATTTATGCGATTGATAACGAGTTATTTTCTAGCAAGTTAGAACATATATAAGTAATCTTAGGTCAAAATAATAAATCAACTAGTAATATTTATTTTTCAAAAAGACTTTATGGAGAAAAATTCGAATGAAATCATCGTACCGTTAATACATGATCTCTTTAGTCAAAGATTACTAATACTATATGATTTTGTAATGTTGATGAATAAAACACTGTAGCTCTCTATAGTGAGTTTTTAGTCAAGTCTCCTGAAAAAGTTTCGTGTTCCTGTATCAAAACTAATTTACCAATGTATATGTCATAACTACACTTACTAGACAATAAATGGATGCAACTGATGTTTACTAAATGTGCAGAATCAATCGAATTTTGAATCTTCTGTTAACTTCGTTTGATTTCATTTCTTTTCCTGAGCGATCTATATTGATTTCATCAAATCCATTTTCTTGACGAATATTTTTTAACTCATCAGCTAATTGCGATAATATATTTTTCATTTCACTATAATGTTGCATATTCTGTTCAATTAATATTTGTCTACATTCTTCTGCTGCTTTCTTTAATTTTCTGAATCGATTCTTCCTCCTATAAGTTCACTTCCTGTATAAATAATAGGTTAATGAGTGTTTGACGATATTCTTGTAAATGATTGTAACAAAAATCTTTGGACTTTGGCTGTGCCTGTCCCTTTTATTAAATGGTTTGACGATGAAAATCGTATCTAAGTACGGGAATATACAGAGCAGATCGAAATGAGTGAATATCTATGGTGTGAATACATACAGATATAGACAAACAAAAATAGATGGCTAGAAACTGATGCTGAAAAGTGAAGCGAAATTGACTCTCAAAATGCACTAACATTACTCTTTCTCTTGTGATCATTTATCATATCCTGTTATTCGATAAAAGTTGAGAATGATTGTGTAACAAGACCAATTCGACTGAGTTCATATTGTAATTCACTAACAATAATCTCTAGAAACATAATTAAACAAGATTTTTTTGACAATCTCTTCAGATCATGATTGATGGAAAGAATTTCTATGAAAACTTTAAATCGAAAAGTAATCAATAGAATAATAAAATAAGTTATAGATCAATCATTGCCAACAATAAAAAACAAATAATATTCAACGTCTAATCTCAGAGAGCTATGATTCAAGCACAAAATGTGGGAAAAGTCTAACACACAACTTTATCATATGTCGGAAAGATTTTCATATGAGGAATTAAAATAGTTAGTTTTTGAATTTTTGACTAGTCATGAAAGTGTTTCTATTCTTAATTAATATGGTTAGATTCATTAGGGTCTAATTACAACTATCATCATTAAGCTAAGAAAATAAAATTGTAGGATTATGTTGTCATGCTTAAATCAAGATACTTGAATTCCAGGAATTTTACACCGTATATTAAATACCCACAAATCAAAACTTTAGTAGAATTTTTTCTATTTTTCTTATAGTTGAGTAGAGCTCGCCAAGTTACATAAGAAAAAGTATATTTCAAATGCAAAAACCAAACATTTTATGAAGAAGACTAAGATAACATTATTTTCAGATATCTTAAGAGAGAAACCTAGAATTTTAATACATAGGTAACTGTTTTGCATTTGAAAGATTGCTTTTTCTCATGTACCTCAATGAACTATATCCAATCATGACAAAAAAGAAAAAACTTCTAATATTTTAATTTGTGAGTACTTTAGCTATGATGTGAAAATCTTAAAACATGAAATTTACTTATGAGATCTAATACTCTATGTTATTGTGAATAAATTGAAAAAATTTGCAGTCGTGCTCATTTAACTTCGAAAGATATGGAAGAAGAAATAGACCGTACTAAAAACGTTAAATCAAAAAGTGGATTACATGTTACTAAATAATAGATCATCTTCATTTCAAATGAATCGAATTTTTTCTGTTTTTCCTTATCGATCGGTGCTCGCTGTTTGAAATGAACATTAAAACAGAGAGAGAAAAATAACGTTTTTCACTGATCGTTCGTTTATAAGCAATTGTAATAATAAATAGATCAATGGAGACTACAATAAATATGCAGTTATCTAAAGATAAAAAAATAATTCTGAATCAAAGCCTAGAAAATTATATCTCATTCGTAGGAAAAGATGTAAAAGACGAAAAATCTTGAATGTTTATTCATGAAAAAGTTATGCTTTACTATTAATTAGTAATGGATTGACTATTGATGAATATGGATGTAACGGAAGCAAAAAAAAACGAAAGAAAACATTTTTAATTAGCAGCTAGATAGCTCCTAACGTAATAATGCGCTTAAATTCTGCAAGATCTTAATGATTTCTCGGTTATTTCGTTAGAAAAAACCTTAGAAAAACTATCATTTTTCATGAGCCTTCATTTAAAAATTTAAAGTAACATGGATTGATAAACAAGAAGACTGTGTAGAAGTGTCCAGATCAATTTTCTATATTGAAAACACTTAAAATATGAAATTTCCAAGTTGTTGCTTTATTATTTTCGCAGCTTGAAAATCATTTTATCGATCGTTTTGCATAATGTACCGCTATACGTTTATTTTTCTTTTCTTAGTATATTTTCACATAATAAACTTTTCGAATTTTTGATTCCATTGCATCATTTTACTTTATCTAGCGTGTTCCTATCTGGAAGAATGCTCTGAGAAAGAATGCTTCACTATAATGGAATGATATATTTTATCGCGTTTGTTTTCGTGGAAACAAAGTTTGACGATAAGCTGTTCCAAAATGAAAAGTTTATCTTAGAGTCTTCTGAATGCATTTATCGAAGTATGCAACATACAAAAACTAAA